GGGGGGGGGGATTTGGAAGGAAAATGGTATTTCCCCAGCCTTCCTCTCCATGCCCAGAATCAAGCGTTTCTCATCTCCGAGTCTGGAGGTGAGAGGAAGGTCTCACCTCCTGCCTACAGTTACCCATTGCTTAAAGAGCCGTCTTTACTGAAATGAACTGACTTTGGGTGTTTAAGCAAAAGAACTGAATGTCTTACCCTTCTCGTTCATCGTCTGTGTTGTAATACATCTGTGGAACAAAACAACAGGCTTACTGCAGGTCAGAGTCAGAAATGGAAACATGTACGTGATGCACAGACTATCCTCAGGCATTACACTGTCCCATAAAAAACACAAATCTGTCTAACGATCTAACGATTCTGTGTACGTGTGTGTCTAAGGAAATACAAATTTAACCTCATATTCTCCATAGGGTTCATTCTTATACTTTCATGAAGTAAAAATGGAAATCTGATTATTTCCAGTTTCAGTCTGATCAGATTACTTAAGCCAAATCTTGCTTTTGACAATAAGGAAATACTTTAGCAGGATCTAAAAACCATTGTTTAGAAGGGCTCCAGAGCAGGGCCTGTGAGTAAGCAATCCCCTCAGGTCCACAGGCGAGCTGACTCCAGACGCTGTGCTTAGGTGACAGGAGGGGAGCAAGGGGGTCCCATGGCAGAGGGAGAGTAACCTCGGACCTCTGTGTACTCCTCAGAGGGGCCTGAGTTCCCCAGCATGCGGCAACCACAGAAATTTAGGAGTCAACTGTCTTTGAGCTGGGAAAGGCCATTTAGCACTTAAGGTATTTCTGGCCAGAGAAAGATCTTCAAGTAAAGAAGCATCCTTATCATTTTATGAAGCAACAGGAAAACTCCAGAGGAGATCTGCTATGTACGTAGGTTCTCTTGACCCAGTTATTTATAAAAATTAATTGTAGACCCTTCACGAGCTTTGTCTGTGTGCTTCAGGACCACTTTTGTTTGGGTGAAGATGAAAACCCAAGTTAGTATCAGACACACATATTAACTACAAAAGTCGCCCCTAGTTCTAGTACATTTTGTCACTGCCCCTGCCCCAGTCGAATGGGAAACAGCTGTGTCCGAACGGACACCCTCCCTACAAACTTTATCAAAGGCTCTGGGCGGTTCCTGGGACCCTGCTAAGCCCGACTGATGATGTTTCTCTCTCATCGATGTTTCGAAGACAGGAATTGTTTTTTAAAAGGTTGGTCTATAATATCATTTTTCTTGTGGTGTAAAATGATTTAGCTATTTAATGGGAACTGTTAATTTACTAAGGGGGAAATTGTTGACAGGGTTTTATTTAATTACAGAATTTTTCTTCTTGCGCAACTTCAAGCTATAGGCACAGTTCAATTTCCCACCATTAGGTGGCGCTGTATTGCATCAGGCTAATCCCAGCGAGGAAACTGACACCACCTCTCCCAGGTTATCAGCCTTCTGACTTTCTTCCTCTTTCACGCTGCTTTGTCAACACTTCAAACGTCAGCTCATTCTCTTCTGCCTCTTAGTAAGTTGGTTTCCTCTCCTGATACATTCCCTTGTATAAAAATCCATTTTCAGTAGGAAATGACTGACTCTGCTGAGTGCACGGAGTGTCGATTTTATTTTTATTTTTAAGGTGAACACTGTCTGAACTGATTCTATCTTAAGGTTCCACCAACCCCTCGGGTGAATGGCAGGTAGATGTTAGCGGGCAGCTTATACCTGTCCTGTCCTCTGCAGGTTTGCAAAGTGAACATCGGGTATGAAGAGGACGGGCTGAGAGTGCAGGTCGGGCATCGTCTTGAAGTAGGTGATGTCACTCTTCTTTTGTAAAGGTATCGCTGCCAACTTCCCATCGGAGGCTGGGCATGATCAAGAACCCAAAAGCGAGAGGGTTATGCATGACTAAGAACTCTCAGATATAAGCTCTAGGCTTAACTAAACTTCATGACTCTCTCCTACAAAGCTTTCCAAATGCCATAATGTGAACACACTTGAGAGACCCCGTTTCCCACTGCCAGACCTACAAAAAGTCTCAGACTTCGAGCAAGCACCCCTGAGGCAGAATGTGGGCCCCTCTCACCCTCCCTCTCCTCTCTGAGTCCTAGATTTCTTTTTTTAATTTTTATTGAACTTACTGGGGTGACACTGGTTAATACAATTATATAGGTGTACAATTCTGTAATACATCATCTATATATTGTATTGTGTGTTCACCACCCCAAGTCAAGTCTCCTTCCGTCACCATCTATCCCCCCTTTACCCTCCTCTACCCCCTTCCACCCACCTTTCCCTCTGGTAATCACCATACTGTTGGCTGTGTCTGTGAGTTTTTTATTTGCTCGTTTGTTTGTTTAACCCCTTCACATTTTTTGCCCAGCTCCCCAGCCTCTCTCTGTGCCCTAGATTTCCTGTCTGTAAAAGGAAAGTGTTGGTCTCTATGATATTACAAAGTCCCTCCTAGTGCAAACACTCTGTGATCATTGACTCTATTTGCTTTTCACAGGGACAATTGACTTGGTCTCCACTGCTAGGGAAAAGCAAGCAATCCCTTGCATGTCTGTAGTTTTACCTGCAACCCACTTCTTTCCACCTGTTCCCTAGCGGACGCAGTGGAGCCCATCCCTTCTCAGTGACACTCACAGTTGTTGCACTGGGTTTGGGAGGCCTGGCCTTTCCCTTTCTTCCTGTTCTGCTTCCGCTCTTCATCTCGGATTTTTCTTTCTGCTCCCTAACAGGAAAAAAAAAATACAGGCAATGTCAGGCATGTTATCAGAGCATACAAAACACTGCTGCACCCAAATCTCAGGGATAAGAGACGTAACAAGGGCAGAAGGAGAACCAGCAGTCCCATTTCCATCACTCCAGTGAGGTCAGGCTCAGTCCTGAAGGCTGAGTGATCCCACTTCTCCCAGATTTCTCCCTTTTTTGGGATCCTGACTATTTACACAACCTCAATTTTGTATCCCTCCAGAAATGCCAGACCCAGTTCCCAGTGATTATAATAAATGCCCTAAGATGAAGCCTTGGCCTGTTACCATCATTCCTAGGCACAGAGAGGGCATTAAAGTTGAGTGTGAACTCCCTATAAAACTTTTCCTTTGCTCGTTGTATCGTTACAGTAATGGAAATGATGGAGGGCATGAGGAAACTAGATAGGATAGAAGGTCACTTTGTACATACAGTATGATTCTGTGTTTTAATATGTTCATATGATCTTGGAGATGTTGCTCATTCAACCAAGTAGAAAAAGTCTGGTCTAGCCCTGGCTGGCATGGCTCAGTTGGTTGGAGTGTCATCCTGTACACCAGAAGGTGGCGGATTCAATTCCTGGTCAAGGAGCATATCCAGGGTGTGGGTTCGATCCTCAGTTTGGGCAACCGAACCATGTTTCTCTCTCTCTCCCTCCTTCTCTTGCTTTCTCTCCCTAAGATCCACGAGGAAAAAAAAAGGTGTGATCTGTTCATCTCCTTTTTGCTTCTCTGTTTCTTGTAATGTGATTTTTTCATTGGCTTCTCTTCCAAATCCCATCCTACTTAACCGGTTGACCTTCTACCTCTTTCCTTCCTAGCCTTTGAGGATTCCCTGATCTCCTCTCATCTCTTTGGTCACTCTTCTATGTCAGCTTTGCTAACCCAGTTTCCTCTTCTCACCCCCAAATACAGATGTTTCAACACAGTTTCCTTTTCTTCTCTCTCTCCTTTTTTTAAAATCTTCAACTGAGAATGTTTTCTCCATTGCTTTTCAGAGAGAATGGAAGGGGGAGAGAGAGAGAAACATCGATGTGAGAGAGACACATTGATTGGGTAGTTGCCTCCCACACACGCCCCGACTGAGGCTGGGAATGGAGCCTGCAACCGAGGTCCGTGCCCTTGGCCAGAATTGAACCGGGACCCTTCAGCTGGTGGGCTTATGCTCTAACCACTGGGAAAACTGGCTAAGGCTTTCTCTCCATTCTTGATGCAGAAGAATTCATCTGCACTCATGTTTTCATGATGCTCTAGGCAGGTGAAAACCAGCTAGACATCCTCACGTTAAACTACATTTCAGATTCGCATTTACAGTTCCTGCCCTTTGGGGCAGCGTATTTAAGGAGCGCTGAAGAACAAACTGGCCAGCATCCTCTAACCTTTTAGAAACTGCCCCCCAAATCATCACACAAGACAGATTTGATAATATTAAAATGTAATCCTTCTGTTATGCAAAAATAAATCATTTAAAAGGCAAAGGACAGCCCAACCAGTGTAGTTCATCGGTTGAACATTGACCTAGGATCCAGGAGATCGCAGTTCGATTCCCGATCAGGACACATGCCCAGGTTGCAGGTTCGATCCCCAGTAGGGAGTCTGCAGGAGGCAGCTGATCAATGACTCTCTCATCGATGTTTCTCTCTCTCCCTCTCCCTTCCTCTCTCTGAAATCAATAAAGACATATTAAATAAATTAATTAATTAAATAAAAGGCAAAGGACAAATTGTTTTACTTGCAATAAAACATTGCATATAGTATTAAATTCTTAATCTACAATGATTCAAATTTTAAAAACTAACATACCAATAGAAAAATGGACAAGGGTCATGAAATAGGCAATTCACAGAAAAAGACACAAATGATTTTAATTAAAACAAGGAGATGTATTTTTTGCTTATTACATTGGCTTTTAAAATAGTAGATTCCCAATTCTGGCCAAAGCAAGGCCATGACACAACTGACATTTGTGGTTAATGAAGGTATCATAAAGGAGATAGCTTCAGAGCTAATTCTTATGTGGCACTTATTTTGTGCCACGTGAGTCCTAAGAGTTTCACATACATAAGATTTAAAATTTTAAAGTTATAATATTTTAACCAGATGCTTTAAGTATGTATTTTATGTCAAAAACCTTCTTATTATTCACTCATCAAAAATATAATTATTTTACAGTGCTTTACTTTTAAGTTTTGAGTTGTCATTGACATATATAAACCAGAGAAATTTCTAGCAAGAGGAGATAAAATACAGAAATATTTGCTTTGGAGGTCCCCTCAAGATATATCAGGTTTTGTAGAGTTTTGATGTTTAGGTAACATAATATTTTCAGAATATTATAAAGTTAATAAAGTGTTAAATGCACAGACATCACTTTGTTCAAATGGAAGTATAATATAAGCAAAGGCTCCTATTATTCATGTCTACTGTGTCCATCTGTGGCATTTTTCCATGTATTTGGATCTCTGTATGATTAATATAAATAGAAATATGAAACTTTATCTACCATATAAATTACAATGCACCCAAGACATACACACCCCTCACTCATATTTGGGATGGGGTAAGGATCTCTTGTTACATAATCAGGGGATTTTAATCTTATCTATTCTAATTGCTTTGTCTCTTGTGGTGGGATTCAGGGAGATTAAAAAACTATATCTCCTCTTGAACTTATTTTATAGGAGCCATTTCCTTTCCAAAAACCCCTAAATGAGACCTCACTTACCCCACAGAATAACAAAAGTTACACTGATATGTTCTGGAACAGGAACTATACCCAGTAAAAATGACTAATCTATTACTTCAGTTATCTAAGTGAATCAGACTCAGCACAGTACAATGTCAAGTAGTTATTAAATTAGTGGTAAAATGATTGACTCTGTGTGTGTGTGTGTGTGTGTGTGTGTGTGTGTGTGTGTGTATATATAAACAGTTGACTGATGTCTCCCTAGATATCTAATAGGAATTGAGAATGAAGGATTACCACTCCCACTGTGATTGATAAGGTGATTATTTTGACAGCACTAGACAAGAGAAGGTTACAAGGGATAACTGTCATTAAAAGTAATATCTAATAACAAAGATACCTTTATGACAAACTGTCACCTTTACTCACTTTGTCGCAGAAGACCTTGATCTGGCAGTAAGCTCTATGAATGGGCTTATTACTACGATTATTATAACTGTATGTATCAATCTGAATCATCAAAGGAAGTCCTTTCACTCCTTTTTGGGAGGAGAAATCTGTACTCAGGCAATTCACAGTGATGAAGATCTAAAGGAGGGAGAAAGGAGAAAAAAAGATCATAAGTCATCATAAAAAGCGTCTTAAAAAAAATGCATAAACCTTAGACTGGAAATCAAAATGCTAAACAAATCTATAAGGATAACGGAAGAATATTTAGATGATCTGACATAAGAATATGTTGAGCATATAAAACATAATACATTACATAATTTATAAATATATAAACTTTTTTGTTTTGATATTTAATCTAAAACAGACAATTAAAAAACTACTTTCCTTGGAGTGACAACAAGATGGCGGCGTAGATAACCAACCAGGTACTCGCGCCTCCCGCAACCGCATCAAAATCACAACTAAAACACAGAACCATCACTCAGCGCCTCCTGAAATCTGGCTGAACAGAAGCCCCGCAACCAGGGAGCTGAAGCAGCACCGAGAGCGGGAGGAGGGGCGGAGACGCGGGCGGATGGGGCTGGATCCTGGAGTCTCGGCCTCAGGCCCACCCCCCGTGCCGCAGGTAAACCCGGGAGGGAATCTCGGCGGCGGGGTTTCCGGGAGGAGGGCGGGGTCCCAGCTCCACAGCAGGCCCCAGCCCAGGGCTCCAGGCTGGGAAGAGATGTCCCCACACCTTCGGGCTGTGAAACCAGCAGGGACTGTCGCTAAGGGTCGCGGAGGCCGAGGGAGCCCCAGCAGCTCCTCTAAAGGGCCCGGCACGGACTCACCCGGACGCTCCCTCTGAGCCCAGCGCCGGGAGCAGCCTGAAAGGACCCGGGACACTCGGGGAGGAACCAACCTGCCTGAGAGGCGAGAGGCGGAGGGCGGCTTCCTCCTGGGCAGAAGGGCTGGCGGAGGCCATGGCTCCTGGGGCGAGCCCTCCCCGCACAGCCGGCAGGCAGGCGCCATGTTTGAGTCGCCAGCACCTG